ATAAATAAAGTATTTTCCATGAAAACACTAAAATAATCTTTCTGAGAACATCAAACATGGCAAAATCTCGTTAAGATAAGTCACGTGGTATACAATACAGAATGCAATAGAAGATTTGATGCTATTAGTCAAAGTTTTCTGACATTGAAAATGACAAAATACATAAGATAAAATTGAATTTTATGAGAAAGTACGGACCATTTTGTTGATAACGAGTGCCTCCTTTCTGTGAACTTTGTCGTTTTTCAAGCTTTAAGATAATTAACATGAAGACAGTATTAAAAGTTAGACATTTGTCTATTCGATTAGCTGTTGTTCAGTTAAGTTGCAAGGACAGCTGACCATTAATAATGAATCATACAGATAATTAAATGATAAATCGATTGTTTCAATGATCGACATTTCTAGCTTCGCACCGCATTTTGTATTCGAAAGAAACTCGAATATCATCTAGTTTACTTACTTTACATATTGGGTACGCATCGCAACTCATCTTTTTTTTTTGTTGTTATGCAATGATCTCGAGAACGAAAATGCATAAAATAGTCGTTCAAACACGATGTCCAATTATCGACATAAAATCGATATGTTTTCTTTTTTTGCGGCATTTTTGGAGAGATATTTCGTTTTCTTATAAATAGTTTTCCGACGACGACAAATTTGACAAGACTTCGTTATTTCTTCGTTTTGAAATAATTAAAATCGAAAGCATAAATGAAAGTTAAGTCCGATGACTGTTCTAATATGTTAAACAGCTGTGAACATAGCCGATTCTATCTATGATAAAATTTGAAAGAGTTCTACTAGAGATAAATTTTGCTATGTTGATCTTTCAACTACTTTTGCACTTCAAATCGACTGAGTCGATCGAAAGATGAATATCAGAATTGAAAGGTACAGAAAAAAAATTCGGATTCGAGTAAGACCTAAATATCATTGCGTAAAAAAAGATTTTTGTTAAGTCGTCAAATCGATTATTTGTCTTTTACGATTTATCCTTTTTCCCAAATTCGAATAGCATCTAGTTTATTTAGACTTTTCGATTTTCTTTTTTTATTTATTTAAGTTTTTCAATTATTTGACATCTTAGATATTAATAAAGAATTATTTCGATTTATTTTTAAATTAAATTATGATTAAATATTTTAATTAAACAAGTAATATTATTGAAAACAAATGAAAAAACTTCAAGGTGAATTAAAAGAATTTATTAAGAATTTTTTATTTCTAGTTCAAATAGAAAAAAAACGTTGTATTAATAAATATAAGAAAAATGTTAATATCATCTTTATACAATCCAAAGCAAATTAAATAAATAATTAATTCTAAATAAACATTTTAAATAACAAGTTGAAAATGGTCGCTAGAAAAAAAATATTATCCTAAATAAGTTGAAGATTTATTAAAATAAAAACGTTGACATTCTATATGAAAAATCGATAAAAAATATCATTAACAACAAATCAAACAAATTATAGGAAAAAACTCAATAGGATTACAATAAATTATCCTAAATTGATTTTTCTAGACGAACTCTCTTTTTTTTTATTATATTTTAGTATAGATATTATCTTTGTGAAAATTCTTCATTAATTGTATACTAATGGATTTATTCTTGTTGAACTTCTGATTTATAGTCAATATTCAAATGAATCTATATCCAAATGTGACAAACAAAATCATATTGTACTCAATTTATTTATTCCAATTATATATAGATTTATCGTCTTTCACTATATTATTATGGAGAGATTTTACTAACAACGTTTTTTTTTATTTGATCATATTTTATAAAATTTGCTTTGTTTTATCTTAAATTCTATTCTGATTTCTATTTGTTAAATAAATATAAATATTTATCAATTATTTAAACATTTTGACAAGAATCTAATTTGTTTAAATTATTATTTTTTTTATTCGATAATCATAATAGAAGAATTTTTCTTTGTCAAATGACTATTTTATTTAAGAAATTGATTTATTATAAATAAATATAAGATTATATTTCGATATATCTCTCAATATTGAATTAAAATTATATTATCATTATTCCATTTAGAAATCATTATCGAATAAACAATAAAAAGTTTTCAAATATTTTCAGTTAAATAATTTAACTAAATATCGATTATAATAAAATGTTTTTATATTGATTTAGAAAAAAATCTATCTATATATTTAATTAAAAATTGATCTATATTAATGTATAAATGTGTCTAAACAAAATAAGATAAACTAATAATAATTATCTAGAATTTTTTTGTCATATTGATTTGATATAGAAAAGCAAAATAGTGTTGATATATGTCTATCTATATCATATAATAATAGTCCAAGTTTGTTAGTGATTTCAATTGAATAAAACGAAAAATAAAAAAATAGTTCGATGTTATGTTTTGTCTTTATTATCAATCTATTTATTCAATCCCATGCAGGGTTGGAACCGGTCCGGCAAACCGGTACCGGGCCGGTAAAGACCGGAATTTCACCGGTTGAAATTTTTCAAAAATCTTCTTTGTTAATCCTGTCTTTTACCATAAAAACTAAGGTATCACATGTTTTTTCTGTCAGAATAGGTAAAAAAGTGCTCAAAACATATGTTATATTAATCGTTTTTCCTGAGATTCTCTTTAAAAAGATTCATTATGATGAGCGTCTTTTACATGCGCCTTAAACTATTTCATATTTGGAGCGATTTTTTCTAAAAATCGGTTTTCAAAAAAAAATTCGACATTTTTCCACTGGTTTTTAACCGGTTTTCACCGGAATTTCACCGGCTGGACATGTGATTCCAACCGGCCGGTTTCCGGCCGGACCGGACCGGTAGGATTTTTCAACCGGCCGGACCGGACCGTTTTAATATTTCTCAACCGGTTCCACCCCTGATCCCATGACAATATTGATCAGTAGCAATCAAACTCTCATTCTTGTCTTTTTCTCAAGAGATTTAACTTTAACATGACACTATCATTTATGTTTCATATTATATATTCATCCAATCAGTTAAATCAATCAATATTATTATTTTAAACAAATAAAACGAACATATATTATGTGTCTAATAATTAAAATAAGAATTTTCATTGTTTAAAATTTATTGAAATAAACCTATGTACGATATTTAGGTTAATAGTTCAGTTTGTTGAGATAAATAAATGATAAATTTGCCGTTTCCTATAATAGTCATCTTAATAGAATTGATCTGTTCGTCGAATAAGTTGAATGATATTATTCGACATATGTGTTTCATCGGAAGTATTTGTCACATTGAATTAGTTTATCTTTTATCGAAAACAATATATTTATTCGATGATTAACTATTCCGATGTTATTTAATATGGACGTATTGGAATTTACTTTTTTTAATTTTTACATTAAAAAATAAAACTGATTAAATTGAATAAGATATTATTATCTATGAAAACAATGATAGAGGACATCGTTCTTGATTACAATGTTTTATTTAAAGAAAAAAAAATCTCTTCTGCTGTTTCACAGTGATGTTCCGATTTCCATAGTTCATTTAACAGAATTGATAGCATCATAGATAGAATAAAATAATGACATTAACAAATAATTAAAACAATGAATAGATAAAATAAATCAATATCGAATTTAACAGAAATTATTTATCTTCTCTTAAATTATATTATAATCTAGCTTTTTTTCTTTTTTATCTTATTAAATCGATATTTATTATAGATGCCAACTTTTCAAATGATTCATTTTAATATCAATATAATAACATAAAAGTTAATCATTATTATATATCGTTGAATAGCGATTGTTAAACATCAAAAGAAACTTTGTAAATATAATAGATTTTTAAGATAATATTTGTCATTCATTTTCTGTTAAAATAATCTTGAATATTTGATTTGCATAAACCATTTTGATCACGTAGATGTAAACATAGACTTGTCAATATTTTTATTCTCAGTCATTTTCATTTGTTTTTAAATTTTTTTGATCGACAAATGCAATGTGAATGATAAAAATCCCCTGAGTCTTGTTCAACCATGACAATATGTTGGATAAAACATTGTTGACAAAAAAAAACGTATGAAAACAAAATGTTTGTCAATTGATGACATAGATATTCAAACTGTTGATGATAATCACTGATTATAAATAGATAGATATAATACCTGTTCAATAAATAACATAGATAAAAAGAATAAGTCAATGAAATATTTTTAATTAGTCTTCTCAATAAATGAACATGTTGTAAAAAAAGAGAATCTTATTTATTCACTTTATGTTCAATTTATTTAATTCAATTATCATTATAAATTACTTAAATGAATTTTTATTAAAATAAATTCCATTACATATATATATAGAATATCGAATAGTTATAGAAGAAAAAACTCCATATTGATAAATAATATTATTATTAATAGACTTATTTTATTTAAACATCTCTATAGGTGAATAAGTCTTCCATTTGTTTGAGAGAATAGACTAACGGATTGAATTAAAATCAATTATTTATTTTGTTCATATCTAGATAATCACTTTTATTTTCTATACTACCGATAATTATCTCTGTCAAACTTATTCTTTTGTTTCTAGTTAAATATGTAACTTGTTCCTATTGAAATTCTTCAACAAGAACAATAATAATAGAATCTTCATTAATATCTCACACCCGAACTATATCAATTATATCAACATTATATACATATATGACATTGTCAATGATATTTATTATCTTTACTTTGAATTTTATTGAATAAAAAAATGAAAAGAATAAATTAGTTAGAATTCGATCACTCTTATTAAATCGTTCGAGTAGTTTCTATTATAAAAAATTACAATTCTTAATGTAAGTAAATGATTGCTTTGGGGAGAATGTCCATTGATGAAAATCGTTTAATTTGGAATAATAGAAGGTAAAAAGAGTAAAAGAAAAAATAAATATCGAAATATTGTTCGGTATGTCGAAATCACTGGTAGATAATTAAAAAAAAATAAAGATTTATTATTGTAAAAAAGTGTTATGTTGATGATGATGGAGAATAAGAATGATTAGGTAAACTAAATAATTGTCGATTTTTTGTTTTAGCTGCTCGACCACGTTGTCGTCGATTTTTAAACCAATTTGCAACTTGTGTTGCTGTTAATCCAGTTGTTTGTGCAAGTTGACATTTTTTTGATTGGATTTAGATATGGATCTTCTAAATACGATTTTCGTAATAATGAACGTGTTCGTTCTTTGAAACAATGACTTTTTTCTTCTCCATCCCATATTGTACGTGGTAATGGATATTTTTTTCGTACACGATATTTATCAATCTATATCAAATAAATAATATTATTTAATATATATATATATATAATATTCATACTGGTCCTAATGGTCTTCCACATAATTTTTCAGCTTCTTGATAATGTGCTTCCATCCACATCGTTTGTAATTTAGTATGATAATTACGTGTATATTTATAATTTTCTAATAAATGATAAACTTCTTGATAATTTCTCAAATGAAAAGCAACGAGAGCACGTGCACCTAAAATACTTTCATGTTCAATTAATATATTTGATGATGTTGGTAAAACTTGTAATGACCAAAGAAATCTTCCTAATCTTTGAATATCACCATTTTCTTCTAATGTTTTACAGACACGAGCTATTTGTTCAGTAGAAAAATTAACTCGAGGTAATACTGGACAAGATGAAGAACCTATTCCAAACAGACTTATACTATACATTGGATATAAACAATTAAGAAAACTATTTGAAAAAAGAGCAGCAGCAACTGCTGCTTGTTCTTGAAAAAATGATGATACTGTTGAACAATCTGAATGATGGGATATTGGAGAACGAGAACAACCACTTGATGAAATAGATGATGAAAGAGCATCCACATTTGCTAAAAGCGGATGCGGTGCTGAAATAAGACTGTTCACTGCTAAAGTTTTAACGATTTCTGTCTGTTACTAGTAATTAAAATAAATAAAAATAAACTTGTCAATATTGCTTTTATATGAATTGTTTTCTTCTCATTGAAATGCAATAAATGGACAGGTTGGATCTATATGATATGATTTAGTTATTAGTGTCAATGACTAAACTCTCTTCCTCACTTTTCTTTCTCTCAGATGTTTTTTTGTTGTTGCTGATCATCGAATTGATTTCGAGTATGATTTTCTTTATTTTCTTGTATCTATTTGCGATTGCTTGAAATAATTGTCTTATATCTATAGTCTAATCAATGTCGAGATGAAGGATGAGATTTCTTTTCTTCTATCTTGTTTACTATTGGATAGTCGATTGATTCTCTCTTGTCATTTATGTTAACGCTAAAACTTAATTAGTATATGAATAGTATTGATTTGAAGAGAAAAGAATTCCTAAATCTATGAATCAATTGTTTGTCTTCGATTGAAGATGAGATCAATCGAAACAAATAAATTATTCGAATATTAATGATTGATTGTATAAAACAAAATCA